CTGCATTTTTAAGTAATTCAGTTATTGTAGGTTGATTTCCAAGATTTTCATGTTGCTATTTTCCACTGGAAAATTTTAGGAAAATGAGCTTCTCACCTTCCTCTTTACATGCAAAAAGTTTCAAAATTTTCCCTTCACTAGTTTTCCAGGAAAACTTTGAAATGTGTGAGACTGTATTTTCAAATAATTCAGTTTTTGTAGGTTGACTTCCAAGATTTTTCATGTTGCTATTTTCCACTGGAAAAATTTGAAATTTTGGGAAAATGGGCGTCTCACCCTCCTTTCTACATGCAAAAGTTTCAAAATTTTCCCTTCACTAGTTTTCCAGGAAAACTCTGAAATACGTGAGACTGTATTTTCACTTAATTCAGTTATTGTAAGTTGATTTCCAATATTCCACATGTTGTTATTTTCCACTAGAAAAATTTGAAATTATGGGAAAATGAGCTTCTCACCTTCCTCTTTACATGCAAAAAGTTTCAAAATTTTCCCTTCACTAGTTTTCCAGGAAATCTTTGAAATGTGTGAGACTGTATTTTCAAATAATTCAGTTTTTGTAGGTTGACTTTCAAGATTTTTCATGTTGCTCTTTTCCACTGGAAAAATTTGAAATTTTGGGAAAATGAGCGTCTCACCCTCCTTTCTACATTCAAAAGTTTCAAAATTTTCCCTTCACTAGTTTTTCAGGAAAACTGTGAAATATGTGAGACTGTATTTTCACTTAATTCAGTTATTGTAAATTGATTTCCAATATTCCACATGTTGTTATTTTCCACTAGAAAAATTTGAAATTATGGGAAAATGAGCTTCTCACCTTCCTCTTAACATGCAAAAAGTTTCAAAATGTTCCCTTCTCTAGTTTTCCAGGAAAACTTTGAAATGTGTGAAACTATTATTTTATACTAATTCAGTTTTTGTAGGTTGACTTCCAAGATTTTTCATGTTGCTGTTTTCTACTGGAAAAACTTGAAATTTTGGAAAAATGAGCGTCTCACCCTCCTTTCTATATGCAAAAAGTTTCATAATTTTCCCTCCACTAGTTTTTCAGGAAAACTCTGAAATATGTGAGACTGTATTTTCACTTAATTCAGTTATTGTAAGTTGATTTCCAATATTCCACATGTTGTTATTTTCCACTAGAAAAATTTGAAATTATGGGAAAATGAGCTTCTCACCTTCCTCTTTACATGCAAAAAGTTTCAAAATGTTCCCTTCTCTAGTTTTCCAGGAAAACTTTGAAATGTGTGAAACTATTATTTTATACTAATTCAGTTTTTGTAGGTTGACTTCCAAGATTTTTCATGTTGCTGTTTTCTACTGGAAAAACTTGAAATTTTGGAAAAATGAGCGTCTCACCCTCCTTTCTATATGCAAAAAGTTTCATAATTTTCCCTCCACTAGTTTTTCAGGAAAACTCTGAAATATGTGAGACTGTATTTTCACTTAATTCAGTTATTGTAAGTTGATTTCCAATATTCCACATGTTGTTATTTTCCACTAGAAAAATTTGAAATTATGGGAAAATGAGCTTCTCACCTTCCTCTTTACATGCAAAAAGTTTCAAAATGTTTCCTTCTCTAGTTTTCCAGGAAAACTTTAAAATGTGTGAGACTATTATTTTATACTAATTCAGTTTTTGTAGGTTGACTTCCAAGATTTTTCATGTTGCTGTTTTCTACTGGAAAAACTTGAAATTTTGGAAAAATGAGCGTCTCACCCTCCTTTCTATATGCAAAAAGTTTCATAATTTTCCCTCCACTAGTTTTTCAGGAAAACTCTGAAATATGTGAGACTGTATTTTCACTTAATTCAGTTATTGTAAGTTGATTTCCAATATTCCACATGTTGTTATTTTCCACTAGAAAAATTTGAAATTATGCGAAAATGAGCTTCTCACCTTCCTCTTTACATGCAAAAAGTTTCAAAATTTTCCCTTCACTAGTTTTCCAGGAAAACTTTAAAATGTGTGAGACTATTATTTTATACTAATTCAGTTTTTGTAGGATGACTTCCAAGATTTTTCATGTTGCTGTTTTCTACTGGAAAAACTTGAAATTTTGGAAAAATGAGCGTCTCACCCTCCATTCTATATGCAAAAAGTTTCATAATTTTCCCTCCACTAGTTTTTCAGGAAAACTCTGAAATATGTGAGACTGTATTTTCACTTAATTCAGTTATTGTAAGTTAATTTCCAATAATCCTTATGTTGTTATTTTTCACTAGAAAAATTTGAAATTTTGGAAAAATGACCTTCTCACCTTCTTTTTTACATGCATAAAGTTTCAAAATGTTCCCTTCACTAATTTTCCAGGAAAACTTTGAAATGTGTGAGACTGTATTTTAAATTAATTCAGTTATTGTAAGTTGATTTCCAATATTCCACATGTTGTTATTTTCCACTAGAAAAATTTGAAATGATGGGAAAATGAGCTTCTCACCTTCCTCTTTACATGTAAGAAGTTTTAAAATGTTCCCTTCATTAGTTTTCCAGGAAAACTTTGAAATGTGTGAGACTCTGTTATTTTATAATAATTCAGTTTTTGTAGGTTGACTTCCAAGATTTTTCATGTTGCTGTTTTCTACTGGAAAAATTTGCAAATATACAAAAAGTTTCAAAATTTTCCCTTCACTAGTTTTCCAGGAAAAATCTGAAATATGTGAGACTGTATTTTCACTTAATTCAGTTATTGTAAGTTGATTTCCAATAATCCTTATGTTGTTATTTTCCACTAGGAAAATTTGAAATTTTGGGAAAATGAGCTTCTCACCTTCTTCTTTACATGCACAAAGTTTCAAAATGTTCCCTTCACTAGTTTTCCAGGAAAACTTTGAAATGTGTGAGACTGTATTTTCAAATAATTCAATTATTGTAGGTTGATTTCCAATATTCCTCATATTATTTTCCACTAGAAAAAAATGAAATTTTGGGAAAATGAGCTTCTCACCTTCCTCTTTACATGCAGAAAGTTTCAAAATTTTCCCTTTTTTCATTGGAATAGTATTTGGAGGAATTTGTGATAGGATATCTGGAAGAATTTGCAGGAATTTTGAGGAATTATGCGAAAAACATTCCCCTTTGAGGAATTGTTTGCACCAATTCTGGGATGGTGGTTTACCCCTTGACATCAATAATAAATAAACTGCAAAGGTCAGCGACCACCGACCGTGTGCTACTCGAAAAACCGATAGACCAGCCCTGACTGGTGTGTTCGCTTTCTGATTCAATCAGGTGCGGCATTTGTTTATCTCTCTCTCTGTTGTGGCGAAACTGTCGTAACAGAAAAAGACAAAACTAGACCGGAAACCGGTGCGGTTCTGTTATTTATAAATAAAAGAAATCGTCCTCATATCAATCGGCATGTTGCGCATGCCCAAAATACGAGGAAAGTGTTCCTATTGGTTGAATTCTATGGCTTCAAATGAGGTGGAGAGTTAAATAACTGATTCGTTGTACGGTATAAACTGTGATAAAACCCTGCAACTTTTGTATTTAACTTTTTTTCTAGTTTTTCTTTTTTTGTGTCCGCGAAATGAGCTTTCGCGGCCACCACAACTTACGTGCAAAGTGTGTCAAACTAATCTGTTTTGGTATATTCTATTCCTTGTAATATTTGTAACATAATTTATATTGGACACATTTAAAAAAATATATATATATATATACCTATGTACTCTCATAAAAGCGCCATTAGAAATAATAAAGCTTCATGTGGATCAGGAGAACGTCATCATCATATTGATACTGGTTATTCTACAAGTCCCAGGCAACCTTGCGCAATCGTGTAACACTGCCTGATGACTAGAAAATTCGCGATTTTGAAACCAACTGAAGCAAATTAGTTAGACAATTCAAGCAACGACGCTCTATAAACCGGAGTCGGCCACTAAATGGAGACCAAATTAGATACTAGTGTATCAGTTAGTGGTGTCGAGTGTAAGATAGGGAATTGCGATTTAGTTTTGTCACTAGTCATGAAGAAGAAAAGAAAGCATTAAAAGTTAATTAGGAAGAATGGAAGCAATCGCAGCAAGATCCAGAAAATTCGAGAATAATATGAAAACGAATCGTAAAAGAACACTGCTGATTCATTTAAACAAGCGCAAGTATCTTTCCAGGAATTTCATGGAAAGACCAAATAAGACTGACAGAAATTTAGGCCGCAACTTAATTCATTTGGGTTTTTAATTGAGAGGAGCTAGATATGAAATAATGCTTTAGAATTTATGCTATGAAATACATACGTATATTAATTTTATTTTGTATGGATTCGGTATTTATATGATGAAAATCCATATTAAATTGAGTTCAAATATATCTACTTAAATTAATTTTGATTTAAATTATCTATTCTTTATTTGTCTCATTTTATGTATGACTCATTCTCTCACTGTGATCTAATTTCTATTCAGGGCTTAACAGTTACTTGTTATAATAATCCTCTAAAAAAGTTCTTTGTTAATCTTTATTCCAGACTTGGAGATCAAATAATGAACGTGCTGTTGCAAGAGCTCGAGCTTTGGAAGATTTACTAAAGCAAATCGATTTCTTTTAAATTTCCCTTCCTTTAGTAGTTGTAATAGGTATTTAGTTTAATCCTCATCTTATTTTGCATGCACTATTTTTGTTGTTTTTTTTTTTTGTAGTATAGTATTGTTATGATAAAATCAATGGAATAGGAATATCTATAACAAATAATGCTAGCAAAACATTTAAATATTAAAATTGAATTATTTTTTGGCGATAACCATTGACCCAACTTACAGAAGTAAATAATGCTATCATTTTTTTGTTTTTATGACTTTTTTCAATTCTATAACCATAGGACATTCCTCCAATTTGTTTTTTTTCATCAAATATTTAGCCATCTTAAAATTTAAGAGCTAATATTATAATTTATTTTTCCATTGATTTTATACCCCACTAACACTAACAGGGTCTTTTATCAAAGTTCCTGTTGGATTTATTTACAAATTACTAATTCACTTATTTTCTGTTACAGGCAGCTGTTTATCGTAGCGGTTACAATCGATTTGCACCCTACTGAACATATCAGCAGCTCCGGTAGGCCTATATTTTTACCCGACCGAACAAATCATCAAAAAATACTCAAATTTACTGTTCTTTTATTTTGTGTATTACTACGTAAAGCACAAAAGAGCACAAAAATAAGATTAATAATTTTTAAAAATGAAAGCAAAACAGGAGCCAAAGAGCTGTTAACTCACACTAACGTAAGCCCTTGTGATAGCCCATCTAACCCAGCTCTCTAACTTAGATTGTAAGTTTTTTTTTATCTCTATTATTTAATGGCTGTTTCCATTCACTTATAGGTACATCACAAGTTGAGGTTACTTTTGTTTTTGACTAATGTTTTAATTTATTAAGTAACCTCGATTTTATAGTTATAAGCAATAATATCATCAAGCCAGTTATTTATTGATTTTCGTTTTTATTTATTTTAACTTACAACCCGAAAACTTTTTGTTTTATTTTTGTGTTTTCTTTTTGTTGTAAATATTATTTTTCACAATAATTAGGGCCTTCAGTTTAATTTTCTTGTGAAGTCTAATGAACAGTAGAACAATAATCGTAGATACAAAATACAAAATAATTTGAAAATCATGTTTTAAGTTCAACCAAGGAAAAAACTTCTCACTGCTAATTAATAGTTGATTACTCTGAAGGCTCTTAAGTTTATCGTTTAGTTATCTAAGATCAAAATATTGACTGCTAGGAAATATTGTTAATAAGTTTTAGTTCTAGTTTTTTTTTTTAAGCACACTTATATAAAATATAATTATTATTATTCTCAATGCATAATTGCAAAAATAATGTATAAGTGCAATGGAAACATTTCCTTGGAAATAAGTTTTTGCGTTCAGCTAAAAATATTTTGATACTCTCTTTATTTATTATTATTATTCTTAGGCTGCTCCATTTTATGCCTATGTATAACATATCGAGGATATTATATCTCTCTCTCACTTATTCTCTATTTCTAGTTTGTGTACAGTTAGAGGTCACATTTTTATTATCTCGTAATTACTACTCTCTAGGATGTATTTTCATAAATAATTATTAAGCTCTCTAATTATTTTGTGATCCTAGACTTTGTTAGTTAAGATAAAATACTCAAATGACGTGCCACGAATCTCACATATTTTGTGTTTTTTTTTTTTTAAATATTTATAATAGACAGTGTGAAAATACACCCTACTTGAAATTTGGAAACCAAGTTTTCTAGTCGCTGTAAATATTCAATACACACGTACAATAATCATCCATTGACCAAATTTTTTGGTTTTTAATTGGACCACGGCAAAAATTTTCAGTTTATTCAACTAAAATAATTCCAGTTTTATTTTGTACCTACTCATATGAAGTTTATTTCATCCAAAATAAAGCTAGAATTTTCTTGAGAAAAGTAACCCGAGCACAAAATATTGTAATATTCATCATAATTATAATTATTAATAAGTAATTATTATTAGACATTCTGTTGTTTATTTTGTTTTTGACATTCATGTGTGATGAAAGCGAATTATGATTGTGTATGTGAGAAATAATAAAGTTAATTAAGCAAATAATAAATTCTTGTTTTTATATTTTCAGTTTAAAGGAACAAAAAGGGAACCTATATTTGGAATTAGTGAGGATTGAAGAATTTATAGCGACAGGTGCCTAAAAATAACAACAAGGACCAAATGTCACTTTTTCTGCATGCTGTAAAAAAAAAACGAGCGCTATTTTGCACCATTATATAGTTTTATAATAGGAAAACTGATAAGTAAGTTAGAGGATGGGGATAATCCCGACTGGGACCAAGCTCTTGCAAATATAGGCTCTGCATAATGATAATGCCGTGCAGTATTGCACTTTACAGATTTACCCCTCACAAATACATCCTAAAGTACATAAAATCGTGAAACCCGAAAAAACACGACAGTACAGGACTAAAAAATGAAGTTAGGGCAATGTCAGCCTGCCACGCCATCTTGAATGTCACGTGGTTTAGTTATAATAAGATATGTTTGAAGCATGCGCAATTTAATGTGATTATTTCTGTTTTCATTGGATTGTCGAGAATCCTTTGAGGACTTTTTCCTGAAGATTCATTGTTAAAAATACTAAAAACTCAAAGGGATTGAATTGAGTTATTATTAATGGATTTATGACTTTTTTTAAATAATGATGTTTTGTAAAGTAATACTCTACCAACAATTTTTTCACTCAAAAACTGAAGTGAGTGTAGAGTTGAAATTTTGAGAACTTTTTCCTGAAGATTCATTGTAAAAAAATACTAAAAACTCAAAGGGTCGGAAGGACATTTCAAAGCGTTGTATCTCGTATCTCCGTCAATTTTTGACTCACAAGAAAAAGAAAAAACACGTGTTGACTTATATTTCATGGACTATCGAAATCCGCAATAAAAAATTTCATGCAAAGAGCCTATTGAGTTAACTCCAAACTGGTTCAGAATGTGATCCGCCAACAAAGCTAATTTGACAGTTCAGTACAAGTTGGGCACTTTCCAAAATTCACCGGTTTCTGAACCGGTGCGAAACCGGTTTAATAGTTTAACTCACCACACCCGTTCGAAAATGTACCGACTTTTTACCGGTTGAACCAGATCGTCCGTTCCAAAATTGACCGGAATGATCAGCTGTTCGAAATCGGTGAGGCACCGTATCCACCGGGAATTTTTGTCGGTTTCTTCGGTTGGATATTTTTTGACACTTTTTTTTTTACGTACATCAATTGCTTTGAATGGGCATTATCGGCAGTCTTTCGCAAGAATCGCCTGTTAAAAGAAAATGAAGCAATAAGCCTAGTACTCATAACTGCGAAATTCGCATTTTTTTGACATTGCGTTGACAGTTTGAAGTTTTATACGTGTATCAAACGTCACATTGTTGAAGCAATGTCAAAAAAATGCGAATTTCGCAGTTATGAGTACTAGGCTTAACAATTTTCTTTTATAGATTTTTGATAAAGTTAACATGATTGTACATACATTCACAGGAAAAAAACATTTTTTTATTAAATCTCGTGAATCCTTGTATTTTCCGTTTTTTAGCAGGTGTTTCTGGAAGCTGCTGATGCCCGATTGCGCCGTCTCTCTTAACCGAAGCTTAAAGGATAACTATTCCCTAAAGTGACATTTTTTCATGCAAAACTGTCAGTTTAAGGGATAGTTATCGTTAAGCCTCAGCTAAGAGAGACGGTGCAATCGGGCATTAGTCTCGTTTTCACATTTACTATCATCGAGTTGGCCGAGTTCGTTTTTGTCATCTTTTTCGTCGATTTGCTCCGAAATTTTGACAGCGACGTGACTGGATAAGACAATTTCAATTTACAAATCACGTGCCTCTCAAAATTTCGGAGCAAATCGACGGAAAAGATGACAAAAACGAACTCGGCCAAGTCGCCAAGTATCATCAGTAGGATTGCTCATAAGGCGTACGTTCGCTAATTCTCGAGTCGTCACCCGCAGACCCGATCGACTGCTAGCGATTCAGGCTGTGCTTGTGCTTGTGAGTTAAATTTTTTCGTCGATTTCAAATTTCGCTCCATACCGATGCTCTAGTTAAAATACGGAACTAGTAGATGGAGCAGTGGAGTAACTACGTGCACGATCGGTTACACAGAGTGGAGCAAATAGAGCTCACTCTGAAAATCCCAATTGAAGACCCTGATGCAAGAAGGGGATAAGTAACAAATATGTAAATTTTTCAGGAGAAGCGAAAAAAGTTTTTATTTCAAAATTGAATTTTATGTTGATCATGAAGTATGGCCAAACTAGTACAACAGCTATATATGATTTAAACAGCATTTGACAGCCAAATAAGAATGCTATTAAGCAAAAAAAAGTTGTGGTGCAATAATGGGATAAGTTTAAAACTTTTTATAATGTAATTTACAGCAAGTGCAAGAAGGGGATAAGTTACATTTAAACCATTTTCAGCAAAAAAGTAATTATTATTCAATGTGTATCAACCCCAGATGAATATAAACTGAAGTAATCTGCAAATAATTTTAACATAAAGTCAAATGTTTCTTATGAGAATATAGCCAACTATCATCAAAAATACATAGTTTAAAAGAAAAAAAAATAGTGTTATCAATCAATAAGACTCAAAATCACCAGAGATATTAGTGTCCTGTGACATTTTAATCAACTTCTACCTCTGCTAGAACTTGAAGGCAGGAACTCACAGCCGGAACTTTGAAATGGTTCATTCTCCTTACAGCCTGTGAGCTCATACTATAATGTCCTATGATATTTCAAATAATAAAAAATAACGCAATATTTTAATGCACCGCACCCTTACTTAGGTACCAGGTTAACTTAATTATCTTTACTGTCCAGAAAGTTGTCTCTGGTCCAACGGTTTTTTGGTGACTACCTGACTGAGGTGATGAGGTCGTATATCTAAGTATGCACACATACCTTACCTGATCATGCAAACAAAATAGCCGGTGCATTAACGGGACAAAATTTCCCACATATAAAAATAATACTTAATTTGGTGCAAGAACGGGATTTATGTTACACAAATTTTATCCCATTATTGCACCAGACCCTACCAGGGGATATGTGGTTTGCTATCATAATTCAGTATCTGTTAAGCGTACGTATTCCATACTTGCACCAGGCAAGAAGAGCAACTTTTTAAACCTAAATATGCAGCTATCTCACTTTTGCAGATTTATGCACTTATCCCCTTCTTGCACCAGAGTCTTCAATTTCAGAGTAAAAATAAAGTTGTCATTTTGCCAATCATTACCAAGTTAACAGAGAGATTGGAGCTTGATTCGGCTTGTTCTGGCTTCTTAGGAGCTTATTCGGATTTGAAAAAAGGCGGTTCTAGAACGGTTCAAAACAATCACACAGTTTAATATTCAAATTTTTGATAGCCGTTGTATTAATGCATAATTCATGGTATACTACTTTTCTTTGATGAAGAAAGGAGTGCGTTCATAAAATACACACAAAAGAGTTCGCACTCTCGACACTCTGTGTGGAATAAAAGCACACACTCCGTAAACACACGCTTACACCCACACCAACAACATTTTCTTCTATGAACGCACTCCCAGTCCCAGAGTGACATAACAACAACATAACCTAACTTTTGCCCCCTTTAACTTTTTACTTTTTTGAGTTGTGGTTTGCCTTGAGCGAAAATTTGTGAAAATGACGATATTTAATATTTTAAAGGCTGTTAAACCATCAAATATACAACGCCTAAACCTAAATAAGCTCACAAGTGTAAGTAAATGACTTATTTGCTAAAACACCACTCCACTAATATGAATTTGATTTTAACTTCAACAAACTTATCTTTTTTCTAGTGTTATATGTCCGGTAATGCCAAGTTTGATCCCAAAGACCTATCCAAAATCAGAAATATCGGTATATCTGCTCATATCGATTCAGGCAAAACCACATTAACAGAAAGAATTTTATTTTACACTGGCCGAATCGAATCAATGCACGAAGTTAGAGGCAAAGACAATGTCGGTGCTACGATGGACTCTATGGAACTCGAACGTCAGCGAGGCATCACCATTCAATCGGCTGCTACGTATACATTATGGAAAGATCACAATATCAATATAATTGATACACCAGGGCATGTGGATTTCACAGTTGAAGTAGAAAGAGCTCTGAGGGTCTTAGATGGGGCTGTTTTGGTTTTATGTGCGGTTGGGGGAGTGCAAAGTCAGTCTTTGACAGTTAACAGGCAAATGAAAAGATATAATGTACCTTGTATAGCTTTTATAAATAAATTGGATAGAATGGGAGCCAATCCTAAAAGGGTTTTATCACAAATGAGGTAAGAATAATGATAAACATTCTTATTTTTTTTTCGTCCAAATTTTGGTTTATGCCAGGCCAGGTTCCAGGCTCTTGAATTTTCTAGTTTCTTCTCTAAATAAAATAAAATTCAACAATTTCAATGTAGCTGCCACATCTATAAAGTCAGCAGCACTGTGCAAGATTTCTGATTGAAATAATTAGTGCAAATTAAATGCCAAGTTCACAAATATTGTGCTCTTGTAGTTTCCGAGATATAGCCTGCAGTGCTACCCGTTTGAGATAGCAGTGCACCATCCAGGAAAAAGGTAGGGTGATATAAATGATGATGAAAATTAAATCCTACCAATTCCATAAAAAAATCTTGATTTTCAAATTTGTTTCGTATATTTTTCAAAAACAACGTGGTGCATTGCTAGCTTGCAGTACGCATATTGAGTTTTCATGACAGAAGCAGTTGTACCTACATGTATATAATTAAAAAAAAGTCTAAAGATTGAATAATTTTACCTGAACTTACAAATAATTTATTTCAGATCCAAACTGAATCATAATGCAGCATTCATACAGCTTCCAATTGGACTAGAAGGCGAATGTCAAGGATTAATAGACATCATCGAACAAAAAGCTATTTATTTTGAAGGAAACTACGGCGAAGAGGTGCGTTACGATGAAATCCCCCAAAATTTAAGAAGTGAAACCGATGAAAAACGCCACGAATTAATCGAACACCTTTCTAATGCAGATGAAATTTTGGGCGAATTATATTTAGAAGAAAAAACGATAACTGAACAAGATATTAAGGCTGCTGTCAGAAGAACTTGTTTGAAAAGGACATTTACTCCAGTGATGCTTGGAACGGCTCTAAAAAATAAAGGAGTTCAGCCACTGTTAAATGCTGTTTTGGACTATTTGCCAAGTCCCGATGAAGTTGACAATTTTGCTTTTAAACAAACAATTAATGAAGATCAAGAGGCAGAAAAAGTTTTGCTAAAACCTGACAGAAGTAATTCACATCCATTTGTTGCGTTGGCTTTTAAATTGGAGGCAGGTCGTTTTGGTCAGTTGACATACATGAGGTGCTATCAGGGAATGCTGAAAAAAGGCGATACAATTTTTAATGCTCGTACCCAAAGAAAAGTACGTATTGCCAGACTAGTACGAATGCATTCTAATCAAATGGAAGATGTAAATGAAGTTTACGCTGGAGATATATTTGCTTTATTCGGCGTAGATTGCGCTAGTGGCGACACATTTGTTACCGAGCCCAAACACAATATCTCATTAGAATCTATTTTTGTACCTGAACCAGTAGTATCAATGGCCATTTATCCAGCTAATAATAAAGACAGAGATAACTTTTCAAAAGCGATTGCAAGATTTACTAAAGAAGACCCAACTTTTCATTTCAATTTTGATAGTGACAATAAGGAAACTATTGTATCAGGTATGGGTGAATTGCATTTGGAAATTTATGCCCAAAGAATGGAAAGAGAATATAATTGCCCTGTGGTTCTTGGAAAACCAAAGGTAGCCTTCAGGGAAACTTTAGTCTCTCCAGTTGAATTTGATTATCTACACAAAAAACAGTCTGGAGGTCAAGGGCAGTTTGGTAGAGTCACTGGCCTACTGGAACCTTTACCGCCTCACAAAAACACCATGTTGGAGTTTGTCGATGAAACTGTAGGCACAAATATACCCAAGCAGTACATTCCAGGTATAAGAAAAGGTTTTCTGGCCATGGCCGAAAAAGGATTGCTAGCCGGACAAAAATTATCTGGCTTGAAATTCAGATTGCTGGATGGTGCACATCATATAGTTGATTCTAGTGAACTGGCTTTCTTTCAAGCGGCACAAGGAGCTGTCAGAGATGGTAACTACTTTTACTCATAATAATTATTGACACGATTTGATTGAATTTCAGCATTTGAACATGGTCTCTGGCAAATCCTGGAACCAATCATGGCCGTGGAAGTCAACGCTCCGGACGAATTCCAAGGGGCAGTCATGGCGCAGCTGAACAAAAGGCACGGCATCATCACAGGAGTCGAAGGTATAGAAGGTTGGTTCACTTTGTACGCAGAAGTGCCTTTAAATGAAATGTTTGGCTATGCGGGAGAGTTGCGGTCCAGCACTCAAGGCAAAGGCGAATTCACCATGGAGTACAGCAGGTACATTCCTTGTTTGCCCGAAGTACAAGAGAAATTGGTTATGGAATATCAAAAAGTGACAGGGCAGGTGAGCGAGAAGGATGTTAAAAAGAAGCGAAATTAGGTAATTTATTGATGAGGAAATTGAAAGTTTGTTTCATCATAGAAGAGACTGAATTTTGAACTCGCTAATTTATTATTAGATAAATGAGTTGTCTAGCATGTTGAAACTAAACAATTTATTTTTGATTATTGGTATTGTAATTATTTACTTATTCATGATTGTAACAGCTTAAAAGATGAGGTTTATTTACATTGTGATATTTCTTGTAAAACCTAATTTATAAACTGTTTTTGTTCACTTGCATTATTGTTGTGCAAGTATTTTGTTTTCTTTTAATGGCAATTTAAGTACCAAATTGTTGTATACTATGCATAATAAAAATGTTTTTACTGTGATACATAAACATACTTTTAATTTTTATTACCTGTTGTGTTTAATAGTAACTGGCCAAGTAGAAGAAGCCTACTGAAGCTGTAAAAATAGCAGCAAATAATTTTATTCCGCCAGATCCTATGAAGATTGCAACTGTGGTATCTATATGATGGTGATGCTGACACTCTTTCAAATTCCAGACCAATATCTCTATTGCCCATGTTATCGAAGATGATCAGAAAACTGGTAAAAAACGGGACTTCACTCTTTTTTTTGGGAATATATGGCTTACTTTGCGCTGAACAGTTGGGATTCCAGGAATCCAAGGTTATGAATGATGCTACATTTTCCTTTCTGGCAGGATATTACTTGGGGATTCATGAAGGAGAAGTGGCCGCTGCAGCATTTTGTGATTCGTTGAAGGCTTTGATATGAGGAACTGGGAACAGACCTAATTTCGGTTAATGTGAATGCATTTTTAAACTTAAATAACGTAGAAACAACTGAACCAAATATCAACATACATATAGGTATGGTATATTTGGATTCAGAAGAAAAAAAATTAATCATTCTACCCAAAAATATACAGGGTGTTCCATGGTGAGCTCCAGATTTGATTGTCTTTGGTTTACTTTACTTCACCATAGGTTGATGTTGGTCTTACAAGGACAAAGGAATACATAGGGAATACAAAGGAATATATAAGAATACATGTGGATTCAAAGGAATACATAGGAAATTACATATCACAATATAGGTCACAACAAGTCTGGTCTTTCCATGTACCACCTCTACTGTGCATAATTAAAATAAACAATCAGAATCTGAATTCTAGATGTTGTGTGCGATTGTAAACTGAAATATATGAAAAAAACATGCGTTATGAATTCATAATTTTAATTCTGTTATTTGACATTTATTCTTGTTTTACATTTACTTACTTTGTATAACATCTTATACACCTAAGAAGAATTACAGCAGAAGCCTTGCAGACAATGCAAAAACTATGATTTCACTCCAGTAGAAATATTAAATTGAAAATATTCAGATCTACAGGATATCATCATTTTCCAAGACAATAAGGAGATAAGTTTGGTTGGAGAACAAGAAGTTCTTGATGCTAAGATATACAATAACACAGTATAAATTACACGATACTGAAGAACAGAAAATTATCCTTGTGTGCGTTTTATAATAAAAATGAAATAATCGAGAAAATAATAGAATAGAGACGAACAATATAAATAAAACATACCTTGAATCAAAGAGTTTATTATAAAGGCTAAATTAGACAAAACAGGAAACAACTTCAAACATGAACGGCAAGAAATAAAATAAAGAAAAAGACATAGACAATAACTAATTAAATACAGTGAATTTGAAATGTTCGCAGGATTATACGTATGTATATACCCAAAACACTAGAACATTTGACTGATAGAAGGGGGGATAAAAATGTATGGATAAACATAAAACATGCTTCAAGTTTATACTACACCAACGACGCATTTACTACTCTCTAGTTTAGCCTATGCTACTGAGAGTAGTAAATCCTTCGTTAGTGTAGTATAAACTTCAAAAGCATGTTGTAAATTATTCCACCTTCCACCCAATGTCTATTTCAAGGATTATTACAGTAGTTGAAGATTCGAGCAAAACATTAATTAAATATTTTATGGGTAATATTTCAAACATTGTTAAGAACCTTCCTTTTACATTGCAATTGCTGATTCGTCCGAAGAGCCCTGCACATCATTTCCAAAGCCTTTTTCTCGCTCTCGTCATCATCGTCGATTATGATGGCAGTGTGCATTTGAAGTGCATGTCCATGTTTTGTATCTTCTTGGTGCAGCTTAAACTGTTCATTCATCCTGTACACATTGTACGGAAACTTATTTACACCCTTTTTCGGACAATCTAGAGAAATACAATGAATTTTTATGTCTACATTGACACAAGCCTAAAGCTAATTATCAATTATGTATATTGATGATACGGTAAGGGACAGGGCGACAAATGGTTTGAATATGACTTGTTTCACTCATAAAAATTTACATTGCATCTTTATTAGACAAACTATATAACATTTCCAATAACTCTATGAAAGTGGCTTGAAGAGCACACATACACAACTGAACATTTTGTATAAAAATACAGAACGAGCCGCAGGCGGCCATTAAATGAGGGTTGCATAAACTATTTTTTCTACTCCAATTAATTAACGAAATACATCTTTACATATACATATACATATTTTTCTGGTTTATATACAAAATTATTTACAGTCCAATTTGTAAAATATATTTGAGGGGTTGTTCCTATGTGAATGGTTATCGAATTTGAGGGCATGCAATTGTTGATTTCGTCACTCCTATTTTCAATACGAAATTTCATTTCAAATATTTATTCTACTTTGCACACGGTTCTCAATATAGCTCTCGGCCACCGTTGTGGATTTCCATCCACCATGTCTCTTTGATTTAAGGTGGTAATATCACCACTGCCATCCACTAATATGGTTGCAGAAGTTCTACGAAAACAGTGTCCTGTGTATAAATTTGCATCCGGGAGTTTTAAATAGGTTGCAATTTGCTTGCACAAGTTTCCAAATTTATTTAGACCAATGTTTTGCACAGTACATTTTCCATTCATATAGTTTAAAAAAAAATATGGAGTACGACAATTAGCCGGTCGAAGATTCATATATTTTTTACAAGTTTCGTATAATTTGCCGGCAATTGTAAATGTTCTTCGTATTTTTGTTTTACTCTCGACTATATTGACAATTAATATTTCCTTTTTGTCCTGAACATTTTCGAGTTTCAAATCGTGGAGTTCATGTCTACGGCATGCCCCCATAATTCCGAATATCATTGCTACCTAAAATAAAAATAAAATATGCATTAAAAAAATAAAACATAAGGTTTACATGAAATATAGAGCAATTCACTGGTACTTACTTTTGAAAACAGAAACTGCTTATCTGGTGCTTCATCCAAAAACCTCCTAATTTCATCAGGTGAGAAGGTTTTTGATTGTTTGCTAATGAATCCTACAGATTTACGCATTAACATAGCATACAACTTATGATATTTAGATATGTCAACATTATGGTTAATATTTAATAGAGATTTTATAATTGAGTAATGCGTCCATACAGTTGAAGGTTTCATTTTTTGTTGTAATTCTCCAAAATACACTGTCAAATCATTTTCTGAGAAGGATGATATGTTGTTGGTGTTTCTCCAGTCCATAAATTGTCCATATATTTTTTGGTAAACTTTCCTGGACTTGTCCGGTAGTTTATTATTAACTGCATTTGTCGCCCTTCCTGTAATTTCTGGAGGTGAAAATTCTTCGTTATCAAAAAACAATTCGAAATCTATTTTTATAGTTATCAAAATAATTGTTTTACGCTAAATTACCATGTAAAATGTTTAAATTTTTCATCTGGTGGTGCAATCTATTGACATTGTATAATAATGAAAATCTGTATCATAATGAAGATCATTATGAAAAAGATTGATTGTAATTTTCTAATTAGCTTATTATAAAATAGGAGTAGAAAAAAGTAATTTTTGTCCAAGTTTTACTGACACTAACAAATTTTTACAACTTACCTTCACCAAACTTTAATGCTCGTTTCATTCTGGGAAATTTTATACTATTCTCATGTAATATGGCTTCAGATCTCACTGAATCTGGAAACAAAAATAATTTAATAGAAATGATAGAAATTATTGTTTAATTGAATTTTTTTTTTTTCAAAACTTCCCTGCAAGTTATCACCTGTATTTCAATAATATCAAATACATACCATTTGAAAGGCATTCATCTGTTTCCCAATCCATTTCTGATTTTATCCATTCGACAGAAGTATCTGGCTCCAATTTAATTACTAGAAGAAATTCACACATCAAAATGAGATAAATTTACACAAATTTCATTGACTTACAACTATCATCTATAAGACCTAAAGTAGGAATAGCAGTATAAATCAGTTGAGTATCGTTTACTCGATATTTTTCTTCAAAATGATTCAAACATAAAAACTTGTCCGAATACTGATTTAATTTTTCAGCAGTTATTTGAGCTGTGTTTTCGAGGCCTTTGATCCATAGCTGCCTTATAGGCTTGATCAAATTAGAAAACCCAAAAAGGACAGTTCTTTCATCGGATTTGCAATGTTTCACGCAACATTTTTCACTCTAAAACAAAAAGGATGATATAATTTTGGATAAGGTGAGCTCAATATTTGTTTCTTCCAGGATTTTGAATTTTCTTTATGTTTTCCTCCTCTAAATTAAGCCTGGAATAGAAGAATAAAAGAAATCCTTAACTCCCGCGCGGAAGTTAAGACCCTGTTTATGATTATCGTAACCAAGGTATTATATGATAATAAAAGTTCAGTAGGATATAATAGTTATTTATGTATCAAGGGAATTATGCAGGTGTTAATACCCCAGGACACCAATTGCCCGTGGGTATTAACTCCTGATAATTCCCGTGGTACATAGATAATTTTATATCCTACTGAATTTACTGTATTCTGTCTATTTTTATAAAGGAATAAGCCATAAATCAAAATTTCTATTTTTTGTCAAAGTGTTACCTATTCAAGGTAAAAGCGGGAGTTATGGAAATCCTTAACTCCCTTGGGAGTTATGATATCCTTAACTCCCTTCCTTAACTCCCTTGGGAGTTATGAAAATCCTTAACTCCCTTGGGAGTTAAGACCCTGTTTATGATTATTGTAACCAAGGTATTATATGGTTTTAATAGTTCAGTAGGATATAATAGGTATTTATTTCCTACTGAACTATTATAACCATATAATACCTTGGTTACAATAATCCTCGCAATAATCGTAAACAGGGTCTTAACTCCCGCGCGGGATTTAAGGATTTCATAACTCCCAAGGGAGTTAAGGAAGGGAGTTAAGTGTATCATAACTCCCAAGGGAGTTAAGGATTTCCATAACTCCCGCTTTTACCTTGAATAGGTGAAATTTTGACAAAAAATAGAAATTTTGGTTTATGGTTTATTTCTTTATAAAAATGGACAAAATACAGTAAATTCAGTAGGAAATAAAATTATCTATGTACCATGGGAATTATCAGGTGTTAATACCCACAGGCAATTGGTGTCCCTCGGGCCTTCGGCCCTCGGGACACAAACTTTGCCCTGGGGTATTAACACCCTCATAATTCCCTTCATTCATAAATAACTATTACACTTACCAATAATAATTGGCCTTGAAGAGGATTAGTTGTTTCCACTTTTCTTTTCTTTCCTGTTGATGGACCATCATTATCAAAATCTGTAGATAGACTATCGATATTAAAATCTATAGATGGGCCATCATTATTAGAATCTATAGATATGGAAGGTTGCGAATTTTTTTCCTTGGGTATATACTTTCTCTTAGTCAACACGGATTTTCTTGTCCAATGAAAATTACTAGAATTAGCTAGTGGGTCAATGTAATTTTTATAGGACTCAGGTACACTGCCTCTTTTCAAAATACCCTGTTTGTTGTATTGAAATTTTTTGAAGTGTTTACCACACACAAAATTGTTGGGAAAATCGATCAGATTGATGTAATCGGCGATACCGCAAGCTTTCTGCCATTTTCTCAATCTGGAATGGAAATATTTGCTGAAATTCAGAGACAATTAACAATCCTACTTACAGTTGTTGGTTCAACGGAAACCTGTATCTTTTTTCTGCAGTTTTTATGTAGGATGAACAGTTTATGACTGCGCAGTACACTCTCATTGGTACATACGTTTTTACCTCTAGAACTAAATCGTCCTGCTGCTTTTCTTCAGAGTCTTAAAAAAATAGAGCATTTTTGTAAAATAGTATTTTTTATTTAAAAAAAGTTTCCTCACCCCAAATTTGGTCATCAGAAAATTCTATTTTCACTAATTCACTCTCATCCTTGAAAGTCTCCGACGCTTCTGATTTAATTTGGTTATAGTGCTTAGAACACAACCTCTGCGATTTTAGATCCTTTTTTATTTCTTGCCTATTTTTTGTTAGTATATCGGTTCTTTTACATAGTTTTAGCCAATCGTATGCCCTGAAAATAATTATTGGATAATGTCTGCCTTTCAATTCTCAAATTTTTGTCTATTCCCGGCTCTTCAAGAACCTCTTAATACATAATAAGAGCCAGTTTATTCATTTTCTAATAAACTGTCAGGTAATGCAATGACGGATAAAAACGCAATATGTAATCCAGTGACCAACAGGATTATAGATCTGTAATTTTTTCTTACAAATAGTTACCAGCAAGTTTATCTCAAGATGGATAAACCGGGATTAAGATAAAGAACATTGGATGTTAGCGAATACAATTTTAATACAAAAACAGATCTGCAAAAAAGCCGTCTAATCCAAATTCATTGAAACATTCAAAATGCTGCAGGATGTTTTCCAGCAGGTATTTTTTCCTATTCTAACAAACATCCCAAGCAGCAAAGGTTAGTCGTTATGAGGTCGATTTTAAATAGATTTACGTCCATTAGCCAAAATTCGATGTCGGAAAGAGGTTGCAAAATATGACTTGTTTGGGACGTCACGTAGTGGACATTTATTTGACTATGACATGAACCAACAGGTTCAAAAGTTAACATGTAAAACCCAATATGACCCATTCAGAAAAAATACTTAGCTGAAAGTCATTCAAGCAAATCTATGAGGAACAGTATAATCGATTGTTGAAGTTAAAAATTAAATTGTACTCACTCATCATCATCCTCAGGAAATTTATAATTTTCACTACCAAGCTTACGGTTGCACATCGTAAAAGCGCAAGCACCGTCATTTTGGTTTCCTAATAATGTTTGTAGCTCACGTCTTTTCTCCAAGTACTGCTCTAGTTCATGTTCAATTGAAAGGTTATGAGTTGGCTTCAGGTTGAACATATTTTCTTCAGTAACCGAATCGAAATGTCTAGTACAGACCCTATACTGAAGTATCTCATCCAAGTCAATATTGGCCAGGTCTGGTATTAGTTTCGTCCAAAATCTATAATCAGTCCACACAGGCACTGCATACATACTTGAAGTATTTTTGTATCTGTTAATGCAACTATGTATGCCACAACCAAACCTTATATTTCCTAGAGATGTGGGAACTACGTGAGGTTTCAGTTTCTACAAACAAAAATATATAAAAATTAACACAAAATTAATATAAATTATTACTCCAAGACTGTAAAAATCAGGCGGAAATTCCAAATAATCTTCCTTGATGAAGTGAGACTCACAAACTACATCAGAGGACTTCAATGATTTATCTCTAATGCAAAGCCGCCAAATGTATAGTGCTTTACTACAGGTTGGTACAGCAAAGAAGAACCCACTTTTATTGTTCGAACAAATTTTGCAAATGAAATCTGAAAAATATAACAAAATAAAATTTAATGAACCAACTATATTTTAAAATACCTTATCATTCAAAACTAGAACCATTTTTTCTGAATGAAAGGCAAAATTGAACTCACAAAAAAAAAAAGAAAAAAGTTTTGGTATTTTTTAAGAAAAATTACCTGTTGTACTGTTATTTCCATTGGAATTATCAGTTGTAGACTCCCTGGGATCATCTTCCAAAGTAAAATCAATAATTTCAGTCTTTACCTCGTTGGGAATTTGAGGCTCGGGTATCGCAACTAAATTATAATAATAAATGCGTTGAAAATTTAAAAATATATTTTTAGTTTTTCAAAACAATTTTTTGAATGAAATTCAAATAAAACAGTGGTAATTAAAAAAAATCTCACCTGTTCTATCATCATTTCCATTGGAATTATTAGTTGTAGAATCCCTGTTAACATCTTCCATAGTTAAATCAACAGTTTCAGTCTTTATCTTAGTGGAAACTTGGGGCTTCTGTATAGAAACTAGCTTTAGGGTAGGATTTGACTGAAATTTATATTTAAACATTGACTCAGCTCCAGCAGGAGCAGAAACTACCTTTATTGTTGGAGCAGCATTTATCTTTTTGGAAATTTGAACATTGGTCTTTGAACAATCTGGAATGTGAACTACTGGCAATTTTAACTTTGGTTGAAGTGAAGAATCTGCCTCTTTGTTCGATGATTCTGTGATTTTAGATTTATAAACTTTGAATTTTGTCGTTTTTAGGTTGTTGAGCCATACAGGAGAGATCCTTCTGAATTCTTTTATTACCGCTTTTTTAGGGAGTTGCTGCGGTTCTGCTGAGGATTTTTCTTTTTTAGAATATGTCAATAATAATGGATCCACCAAAGAAGCATTGATAGTCTCTTCAATTTTGATTTCGGGTTCTCTTAATTCTGGGGCTGATGTACTGGTTGATGGAGTTTTATCTGCAACAAAAAGAATATTATTTCAAAGTCTTGAAAAGTATCACCAAATGGTCTAATCTGTAATCTTTTATAGGTTTGTTCCAACCTGCAATAATATTACTGTAATATTATCGTCCATAACTGCGCTAATGCTACTGCGCAATCAAAAACAGTAATATTATACTAAATAACTTAAAAACTTGTTGGAACGTTTTTTGAACTAGTAGTACTCACAACACAAGATGGAAATAACAAAATCAACATAACTTGCGTACTTGCAGGTGAATCATCTTTTTTCATAAGGAATTCTTCTAAACCTAATATTATAAGACAAAAATCAGATTTATTAACTCTGAGAACAAATAAAATAAAATTATTTAACTTCTATAGCAGTCATTTTCAAATAAATAATTTAAATAAACAAAAAACTGATGTTCTGGGTTATGTATTATTATTTATGTTCGTTGTTGTTCAACCACTGACCCGTTTTCGACCTCACTAAGCATGCATCTAATTTTAGAACCAACAGTTCTTCCTTTCAAGCAAGAATCGTAATTTTACTATCCGTAACTCTGGTTGTAATGATGAACTGTCAATTATCGCTGATTCTAAATTAATTATTTTAACTGGTTGGAACAGCATTTCACAATTGCACATGTGTGCCACTAATATTACTGGAAACTACTGCCGATTGGAACAAACCTAATGTCTTCAGGAGGACCAAATTTTTTCTAGGAAACCTATAAAACATTTACTCAGAAAGGATCTTTTAATTTCTCATGGTCTGTTTTCACGGAAATCACAAACCAGTCAGAGCGAATTTTATTGGTCAAAAATAGTCAGGAAACTGGCTGTTGGCAATTTGGACTAATCAAAAACGATCTGACTGGTTTGTGATTTCTGTGAAAACAGACCTAATGTTATTGCTGCTATACTAAAGCTCTGCATTTTCCAAAAACTGCCTATTTTGACTAAAATTTTTAATTTTGCAGGATAGATGATAGACATACATACTGAATATTTACTGCCTTTCATTGAATAAATATCAAAACTAAAGTTGAGACCAAAGTCTAAACTATGTATGTGAACCAATGAGTCTTCTTCCACTCCCAAAAAACTGTACATATATTGCAGCAATTCTGGAATTTCAGGATATTTTTTTTAACAATTGCAACCACTTCCCAGACAGATTTTGGCTTGGATTTTGGTGATTTCGACTTCTAAGAAATCCCTTCGGAATTCCCTGACTGCAGCGATTTCCAGGAAATCTTCCCAGTGATTTCTTTGCAATCTCCCAAGATTACGAGATTTGTTTGAAGTCTCTATGAGTCTGCAAGATTTCCTTGCATAAAAACAAGAAATATATTCCTAAATGTTTATATTGTAGCCGAGATTGTAGCATATTTGCTAAATTAATGCATTTATTATTATCGAGATTATTATTATCTTGTTCATTGGTTCCAGAATAAAAATGCTCATACAATAGACTCACCTTTATACAAGCCTTGATATTTTACTGGCACTGCAGAATTATTCAAGGTCCTTTTGAATGCGTCGATTTTTCTCAAACTTGATACCAAAAAATGCTTTTCACAGATAACTCTCTGTTTTAGTTCTGTTTCGCTCATGTTCAACAACTTGGGGTTTCCACTGTTTAAAATCCAAGTTTTACATCGTTTTTCGTCTTTCACAGGAAAAGTATAATAACTCAAGAGAGGTTGTGTATTCCTATTATTCAAGCACTCCAAATACATACAAGGGCGGTTACTCATTTTTTACCAGTTCCAGTTCGTACAAAGTTTTCACAATAATTGTTTTTATGGTAAAATGCAAACAGAGAGTAAAAAAGTAAAAACACAATAAATCACTATTTTCTCGATTATATTTTAGAAAACAACTATTTTCCTAATGTTTTTAATTTTTATCAATTTTAACAAACATAACCTCATACCTTTGAATAGGGCAATCCAAACAAAATGGCGGTCAATGCATAGTCAATGCCAAAAAATCGGCGCCATAAATTTAATTCAAACAACCGTGACATTTTTTTTATCAAAAAACTGTTTTTTGTGTATTTTGTGGTATTTTTAGATGATTTTCTAGTGTTTGGGAGGATAATTTTCATATTTTAAGATGAAAAGATTTTAGTTTAAGAAATTATTAGTGGAAAACCCGGATAAAAAGGCATTGGCCTCCATTTTGAATTCTATTTTGACTGGTCGTTGGATTGCCCTTAAAACTACAGGAAGGAGCATAACTTCGAATCAGCGCGACCAAAATATGTGGAGGTTGCATATGGCCTAGTATTTCCGGTTTGGCAGTGGCGTATATTTATTTAAATATGATTGTAAATATTATGACTCACTCTTTTCTCACTAATTCCAATACTTATTATCACTTAAAACGGCTAAAATCCATTAAACATCCACTTGAATGAGGACACAGCGAACCACCAAAACAAATGATGAGTCCAAACTTGGAAGCTCAAAATGGCCGTTTCCGTCCCTGCGTTGTCTGTAGTGACAGATAGAAAACGCTCCTTCCTGTAGTTTTATATTCAAAGCCTCATACCTACCAAACTTTTTAAGGCAATCCAAACCACATAACATTCAAGAAGGCGTGGCGGCTACACATGGACCAAAAAACACAAAAAAAATATCTAGTTTCTGCCCGAGTTAAAGGGGGTGTGCGCCAAAAAAACAACTTCATCTCAAAAAAAAGAGAAAAAAAATCTAAGAATAACAGTGAAATCCGCACCCCTCTATGACAAATAATACCGCAGATATGGCTCTATGAAGGTACCGCATCTCACCCTATGACGTCACGAAAGCTCAAGCGACGCACGAGAAAGTGGATTTAATTAAATTTACATAATGTTTTTCCTGTGTTACCTGCAATAATCTAAACAAAAACTACTCACGCGTGCCGGGAACAATCAAATTAACAATGCAGAGCGCCGCTGGACGAAGTTTTCGTGACGTCACGAGAGCGTCGTCCACCCTTTAAAGCGGTATATCTCAGCGATGGTTTATCGTAGAATAACGAGGTTTGAACAGTTATTCTTAGATTTTTTTACACTAAAACTTTAATTTTTGGCGCACACCCCCTTTAATAGTTTACGTACCTAGTAAACAAATATTTTTTTTTACTACTAACCTGAGAAGTAGTCATTATTCCATCAATTTTTCTGGGAAAAAATTGAATTTCTCTCCCTAGGTTAATAATGAAAAAATACCTAGGTTAATAATGAAAATGACGTCATGACGCAAGGATATTGTCATGTTTTTATTGGTTCAATTTCAATTTCATACGTCAAATAAAAAAAAATACAAGTTTATGTAGGTACATAGGAAGTTATCATAAGCTGTTGATAGAGGGCACTACTTTCAAAAGGACGTTCAAAAAAAATAATTAGAGCAAACCCAAGTAACAACAGCACGTGAAAATGACGTTAAATACTGGTCATCAAGTGACGAGAAATGACGAGCTAAATGACTTAATTATGACGTGAAAATGACTTCCTAATGTCTGGGACGAATGACGTCATAGTTGGTACGTCATTTTTACGTGTTATTTGACGTCAAGTTTATGAGTTATTTAACGTGATATTGGCGTATTAATAACGTTCCATTCGCGTGATATCTATTTTATAAATGACGTCATATTTACCTGATATATTTTCTATAAATCCTTGTTTTTTCAAATTTATATGACCTGTAACGAAAATGAACCAACACTATATCACTTTTGAGAAAAATATATTTAAAAAAAGACAATATAAATATTCTGTAGGCGTATTAAACATATTACTTGTAGTACTTGCTAGGTGAGGTAACAACCAGACACTTACCTGTTGGTCCATAAGTTGGCCCTTAGGTGAAAAAGCAATAATAATAATGTATATTATAATATAAAATAAGGTATATTAAAACAAAAGACATATACTTACGGTTGGTGATTGTTATTAGTCTCAACACAAACACGTGAATAAAACTCACATTCATATAGAGGCGTTTCACTTGGATGCAGCAGGATGATTCTGAAGAGAAATTAAAACCGAAAAATATATCAAGAATTAATAATTCCACGCGATACTTGCGTAAAAAAGAAATGAGGGAAACTTGGAGGGAAATGAGAAAGCAAAAAGCGAGAGAAAACCAAATGAAACACGACCACGCCATGCTACAACCACAACATAACCTCAACAAACTCCCTCACAACAATCAACGTCAACAGTCACACACACAGTAGCGAATTGGAAGGGTTAGTGCGCACTGAGTGTGTTCGTGTCTTTTCTACCGACTTCTATAAGAAAGAGATAAAAAAACATTTTTCTGCACTGGTTCTACCAATAGAATTCGCTGAATAGCATATTCGTTTCCCCACGCGGCGATGCAATATTTATTGTTGTCCCTTACTAATACTAAACTAATGCTAGAATTTCGAAACAAAAAAAATACAGGAGTGAGTGTATTTGTATTTACTCTTTTCCTTTTTCCCGTTGAGTTACTCGGAGCTGCTCAAAGTCAGAAGCTTGAACGTTTTTCGTTCGGTGTTTGTTCGGTGTCACTCGATGTATAAAAGGAATACAGTAATTTCCGCATTCACCAAACCGTTGACCAAACACAAAAACAAACCAAATACGTCCCCTTTCTGGCCTTTCCACAGTTTCTACCGTTTATTTCTATACTATTTGAAAGTCAGAGATGGAACTATGAGTATGAACTATGGGAGTTTTCCATTTAATTTTTATTCAAAGATGTGTTTTCAAACGCATTAAAGTTTTGCTGTAGTAAAAATTAAAAAACAGGATGTCGAAAAAATGCGAGGGTAGGGGTATTATTCGCATTCGATTCGATCAAAATTTTCGTGAGTAGTTACAAATGCGAAAAAAAATAATGATTTGTATCATCACTTTGTCTCCTATTCACTATAGAATACAGTATACACGGCACAACCCTAGGAATTCTAGGAATACATTCAAAACACATTGAAAAAAAAAAAACTAATTCAAAAAACCAGGTTTACTGAACCACAAGCAAAATACGTGAATATTACATGATATATATTGACGTCAATGTGTATTACATTTATCACCAGAAAAACGCGTCAATATTACGTGATAAAAAGCACGTCATTTGAACGGCATTTATCACACGTCAATATGTCGTCAGTTTTTGGTCAGGTGACGAGTATTGACGAATTATCACCATATAAGGACGTCAATATGACGTACCCTTGCTGGCTGGGAAGATTACAAATTATTAATTTTCCACTAGCAGTAGTAAAAAAAATATATTCCTCGGTAGAGAAAGAAAGCCATTATATATACCCCACGCATTATAAACCTCAGCTATTTTAGGGGAGCCCTAACGATAAGTATTCCCTAAAATGACATTTTTACATGGAGAAATGTCAGTTAGGCATACCTATTGTTAGGGCTTCCCTAAAATAATTGGTGGAAATGGCCATTAGAAAAATTAAGAAGAAAACGAAAATTCAAGATCCGGGAATAGACAAAATATGAGATGGAAAAATTGAAAAATATAGTTATGTCAAAGTTTGTATCTTCGGCCCGAGGGACACCAATTGCCCGTGGGTATTAACACCCTATAATTCCCGTGGTACATAGATAATTTTATTTCCTACTGAATTTACTGTATTTTGTCCATTTTTATAAAGAAATAAAGCATAAACCAAAATTTCTATTTTCTGTCAAAATTTCACCTATTCAAGGTAAAAGCGGGAGTTATGGAGATCCCCCTCCCTTGGGAGTTAAGTACCGTGTTTATGATTATCGTAACCAAGGTATTATATGTTTATAATAGTTCAGTAGGAAATAAAAGAATAAATAAAAATATATACTTATATAATAATAATATTAATAATAATACCTGAGTAAACATCAAAAAATTTGCAAAAATATGGCAGCGGGGGCGTGGCTAACTTCTATATTCATATTCAAAATTGGCAAGAATATGGCGGCGGTACCGAATTTCTATTTGAAAAGGTTAAGTCACTGTAGGTGGGCCGGGGCCATTGGAAAGGGTTGAAATGGAAACAACCAATCAAATACCTTGACGATACATAAACCCCGGAAAGGGACGGGGCTCAACTAACCAATTAAATGCCCTGCTGATATCACTCGCATCTGATTGGAAAAGGGCGGGGCTTATATCCAACCTATCAAATGCTTTGTTAATATCCTTGCGTTTGATAACGAATCAGCCACAGTGTTGCCAGCTTGACGGAATTATCCCCTTTTTACCTTTTTGAGGAAATTTTCTATTTTCGTTCGTAAAAGGGTAGAAACGAAATTTTTAAAGTTTTTTTTTTTAAGATAAAAGCTAAAATGACATTATGTTGGCAAAACAATGTTAAATTGTCGATGCTTTGAAATTTTTTATGTAGAGAAGGCTTGTGTTGCCCAGTGGCGCAGCCAGAAATTTTGTCTGGAAGGGGCCATGCAGAAAAAAATTATAGGAGTTTAGTTCACACAGACCACCTATCCTTTAGAGGGGGTGCAATGTAAACCAAAAATCAAAATGTCTGTATAACAAATTCTAATAATAATATTCCAAGCTGTACCATTTTATGCCTGCGGTGCTGGAGAAATTTGCAATAAAACCGTGTGGAAGCGTGACGTCACAACCGCTCGGATACCGTAGACTCAGAGTAAAAAATCCTACGATTCTCACTTAAATACGGATTGACTCAAATAGCTGAAACGAAACATGGCTTTGGTTTTGAACCAAAGTATGTACCATTGTCACCAAAAGTAACTGGGACAGCATCATATTAGCTCTTGTATAGTCTGTTGCATGGTTCTTGAGCTACGGCTACTGAATAGACAGGGGAACAATAGCCCATTGTTCTCTCTGTCTATTCAGTAGTTGTAGCTCAAGAACCATGCAACGGACTTGCATTCCTTAGACTCCTGCCTTATATATGCGACACCTTCAGAAACTTGCATTCTACCACAGACGAGCGCCGTAATATTAGGTCAACTTTAGGTTGACGTACATACACGTCATCAGGCGCTGAGGCTGAGGCAATGCAAAATGAGGCCGGCCGTAGGAGAAGTACGATCGAAAAAGGCCCAGTACTGAAAGGGTTAAGACATTATTGAACTTTTGTTTTTCAAAGACGCGCCACTTTCCAGATATTAAAACGTCTCAATTTAAATGGACCACCCTGTATAAGTATGGGTATAACATCTCATTCTCGACCAATGAATATAGCTAAAAACTGGAATGCGCACACATTGCCATATCTGCCAAAAAAATGAAGCCATGAAAGACAGATGCCACAAGGGGGAATGTTGTTTTTTTCTGTTGCTCGCTGACATATGACGTTTTCGAAAGTTTTGTCATATTTCCCTTCACAGGTTTCATCAATTGGAATACGTGTTGGAAGCAATTTTCGCCATTTAACATAATGAGTGCGACAAAAACAGGTATCCCCTCCGCAGCTTACTACTTACCTGAGAAATAGTCATTATTCAGTCTATTTTTCTAGGAAAAAATTGAATTTCTCTCCCTAGGTGAATAATGAAAATAATGAAAAAGTCCCTAGGTCAATAATGAAAATGACGTCATGACGCAAGGATATTGTCATGTTTCTATTGGTTCAATTTCAATTTCATGCGTCAATTTAAAACAAAATACAGGTTTCTGTAGGTACATAGGAAGTTATCATAAGCTGTTGATAGAGGGCAGCACTTTCAAGAGGGCGTTCAAAAAAAAATAATTAGAGCACAGATTTTAAGCAAATTTTTTATTTTCTACTAGCAGTAGTAAAAAAAATTCTATATATTCCTCGGTAGAGAAAGTCATTATATACCTCACGCATTATAAACATCGGCGCTTTGCGCCTCGGTTCATAAAAGCGCTCGGTATATAATGACCAACTTCTCTACCTAGGTATATAATATACTATTCCACTACCGCGCGTAAAGTACTTACGTTACGCACCTTTTAGAAGACATAAAATGTCACGCACCAGTGCCTAAAGTAGTTTTTTTACTACTAACCTGAGAAGTAGTCATTATTCCATCAATTTTTCTGGGAAAAAATTGAATTTCTCTCCCTAGGTTAATAATGAAAAAATACCTAGGTCGATAATGAAAATGACGTCATGACGCAAGGATATTGTCATAACGTAACAGGTTTCTATTGGTTTAATTTCAGTGTCAAACTGTCAATTTTAAAAAAAGCAGATTTTTGTATGTACCATCGTCTCCAAAAGTATCTGGGACAAAAATAATGCATAATAATCTCCTGGACTAATTCTACTGTCATTCATTTCAATGCATTTGATTCATAGTTTGACAAATATTTGACAATAAAAATCATATAATAGTACAAGAGTGATGCTGTCCCAGTTACTTTTATGGTACATTATAGAAAATTACCGTAAGCTGTTGATAGAGGGCAGCACTTCCGACAAGAGAAAATAATTTGAACACAAGTTTCAAACCTATTTTTTATTTTCTATAGTCTGTTTTTTTTTTTAAGATAATTCCCCAAGTCAAAAATTTAGTAACTATGTTGGCAACACAAGCCTTTTCTACATAAAAATTTGAAAGCATTGACAATTTTACATTGTATTGCCAACATAGGGTCACTTTGACTTTTATCTTTAAAAAAAAAACACATTTTACTAGCAGTAGTAAAAAAAATTACGCATTATAAACCTCGGCGCTTTGCGCCTCAGTTTATAAACGCGCTCGGTATAAAATGACCAACTTCTCTACCTAGGTAGATAATGTACTAATTCAATAATCAAAATCAAAGCTGCAAGCAAAACTCGAAGCAAAATAATTAAATTATGCATGAAGAAACATAATTCAAAATAAACTTGCTGGCCGCCACGCCATATTGAATTTTTCGTTTTGACAGATGGATTGGATTAACAGTTGACAGTTGGGCTGGGGATACGTTCGAACGCTTGAAATGTTGTTCTGTTCTGACAATAGAGACAAATTCATGGCCGGATATTTATTAAATTTTCTAAATTATAATTTGAAAAATCACAAAATAAACAAATTCCGCTTCTATCATATTTCAAAGAAAGGCAACCATGCTGCAAGCGCAAGCTCTAATCTGGATTCAATTTTCTCGCTCCGTGTACTCTAATCACTCCGTGTCCGTAGACACTTCGACCGATCTGAGCATATATTCGATCAATATCACTATCACGTGCTATCACTTATCTCCAATCATGACCCTTCTCTATTGACTTCGATCGCACAGAGTGCGAAAGAGGGAGTAGTAACGATCCCGAGCCGAGTAGTTACACAGAACGTTCACGTTCGGCTATTCAGAGTGGAGTAAGTGGAACTCACTTCAAAACATTTCACTCCGAGAAAAGAGTCTGTTATGATAAAAGAAAGAGTTGAAGCCAGAATAGACAGAGACATGAGAATAGAGTGCTGCTAATAAACATGAGATAGAGACGACTGAAAAATGGTTGAGAATTTGAAAACGGTACATGCCTTAAAATCCCCCTCCCACAAATTGTCAAAAAAGAAAAATGTCATCAATGTCAAATAGAATTTGTCATTGTGAAGTCGTCGTCCGAGGGGTACGTACGGTCCGTTGCCTTTAAATATAAAATCCCGTTTTTTAAATTTAACTTTTTAAAAAAAAGGCCATTGAATGTGCTATTAAATAAAATTATTCCAAGTAAAGTTTCCGCGTTCGCCTGTGAAATGCACCATGGCAGTGTTGGTACCGAATATAAACGGACACATACAAAACCATTTGACCAGATCCTTGGAAAGGATTTTGGAAGAGGCAAATCAAAGTGGAGAACTCAAATTGAGCAACAGGAAGTTAAAAGATTTCCCAAAGGCTAAGGATAAATATAATTTAAGTGATACGGTTATTGCAGGTGAGTTTTCAAATGCACAGGTTGATATTTTGCTTTGCTAATAGTTTGTACCCTTGATTATACCTATATAAAAAAAAAACATTTCCTCAGAAATCAAAAAAATTGATTTAGGAACCTATTCCTTGGAAATTTTTATTCTTATAATAAAAAAGAAGTTATTTGAGTCATGTATAGGTATTAAGTAAGTATACAAAACTTTCTCAAAAGAAACAGATGGTTATTAAATTCACCTACCTTAAAAATTGAGATTCTCTACAAAATTAGGCCTGCATTCTTCAATTCTTCATTTATGTCCTCAATTCGTCAAATGTTAAATTTATTTACCTTTCTGGTGTACCTACCTTTTTAAATATTATTTTTCAAGTGAATGTTTCTCTTGGGATTTGCTGATTGAGAAAATCGCTTATTGAACAAGTTATAAGAAACAAAAAAATAAGTTGTTATAACTTACCAAAAATCTTTGATTGATAAAGGATCCCCCACACCGGCGCGATATGGCAGTTGTGATATGTCCCTTTACCACTGTGGACATATTGCTACCACTACCTCCATATCCTGCCGGTGTGGGGGATCCTTAATACGAATTTGATGAATGAATAATCTGAATTTCTACCTAGAAATGAACTGAAATTTTATTAATTATTAGTGTAAGCTGTCATATAGGTGTAGGTAAGGTACTTATCCAGGTACTTATCCTAATTTTTTCAAGAATTTTTCTATATGGAATGTCAAAAAAAAACCAACTACTCTCATGAAATACCACAAAAATTTAATTTTCCTTAGCTTGGACACAATGTCTCTCATGCTTAAAAATCTAGTGGGATGATTGATATTTCTACAGAATATAGTACGGCTTTTTCATAAAATTAATTAAATATACCTACTTCATTCATCAATCAATATCAATTCGATATACCTAATCTTGGTTATATAAACAGAAACACAGTAGGTAGGTATTGTCATTGTATCCATACAATCATTCAACTAATATTTGCACTACTTTTATGCTTACCATGTCAAAATGATGCAATTAAAAATATACCCATAACAGACACAGACAATTTCGTTAATATTATTTATCTATTATGGTAAATTGCACAATAAGTGCAAAGCAACTTTCAAATCTAATAATATCAAGATACATAATATATTTATATGCTGTAAATATTACTAATTCATTTGTTTACAATCTTTAGGGTTGCAAATTATTGAGGAAATTATATTGTAGGTATAATAATTATTAATTATTGGTCTTTGAGAATCTGGAATAGAACTAAGTAATTCAAAATCTTCTCTTCCTAGTTCTCTTCATTATATTTTCTGCTTATTTTTTCTTTTCAATTTCTGTTTATTCCAGGCTCGAATTTTTAAAAGTTTTTCATTTAGGAAAGAAAAATCGAGAAAAACAAGATAATTTGCCTTAATTTAGAAGGAAAATCTCCCAGAAAATCTGAATTCTTTGTCAGTTCCTCGGTCAGTTCATTATGGTCCCATAAGTCAAATTGTCAAATGCTCGGTCAAATGGCCTTTTTTTTATTGTGTTAACTTTGTATTAAGTATGCTTATACTTGTTTAAGTCCATTCTAATGTTTTTATTATGTTTTATTTTAGTTTTAAGTCACTTCTATAATTTTAATTTTAAGTAGATTGGGTACAACCCGTTTATATGATGAATAAATAAATTAATTAATTAATTTGAGCCTAATGGGGATATTTAGTGTTTCTTTTTTATTTTATTTTCCAATTCTAGAACACAAACTAAGTCTAATAGCGCTATTTTGGGGAACATTTAAGTTGTCGTTAATTTTTAATAAAAAATATAAATTCAGCAGCATTTCAAACGCCGCAGAAAACCCGCCGAATATGACGTCAGTCCCTACAACTAGCAAAAATATACTGCAAATAAGTACGTTGTCAGATTGTCGTTGTCATTGTTGATTTCCAAGATTGCCTCTAGAAACCTCGTTATTATCCTTGCATTATATAGTTTTTTGTTGTATATTTTGGACTACAGGTATAAAATTAATGTAATTTTTTAATGGTTAGTGGGTTTAGTTGCAGAACAACAGTTTTTCTAGTGTTGAATAAGGATTTATGCCACGTCATGTTAGTATTAAGGAATCACGACACTCAGTTTGGCAACGTTGCACTGTCTAACTGTCAAGAGTTTATGTTGACCGCGTTAAACGAACAAGATGCAAATAACGAATGAGGAGTTTTATCATTGTCACTCTTCAGAACTTAGACAAGGAAAGCATATAAGATATGCGCCAGAGCTATTGTGAACGATTCTTATTGGTCAGAAAGTGTATATATGTCATACAATGGTGTTGATATAATTTTTATTTTTGTCAGTATTTGATCAATTTCTAATAAACATATGGAAGGGATAACAATAAGTATCAAAAACCCTTATAAATAAGACAAAACCGTAATAATTTGTCTTTTGAGTCTCTCATGCAACGACTACTACTGCCCTTTTGTATATTTATAACTTCATTAAAAGAGGGAAAGTTTTATTATTCTCCCACTCTGTTATATGTTTGGTTTTCATGCTGGGACCCCAAATTTAGGGGGACCTCGATCAATATGAACACATGTTCAGGAACAAACATAACCTAAGCCAACTCATAAATTGGGTGTTGGCTGATAGGTTGCATTTATTAGTGGAATATCTATTTGATGTAAATATTTTCATCCTGACCTGTTTTAGTTAAAAGAAGGTTTATTTCAAGGTTTATTTATCTAGTAAACCCAAACTAGAGCTTTTTTTCTTCTATTTAACTAGTCTTTTTTTTTTAATGGACCTAGGTATTGAATCAATATTAGTTTAAAATTTAATATGAAATATTTATTTGTTTTTATAGAAATTTATATACTTAGTGATAAGTTATAAGATTTATTCATTTATTGATTTCCTGGGAATTTGTCATTTTATTGAGTTCTGTACAATATGTACAGGGTGTTTCCTTATATTTTGACCCCTACCTACAGCTTTAGGTATACGAGGTGGAAAAAAACTTTAGATATGAAAAATGTAAAGTCTGTTTTTTTTTAAAAGATAAAAGTCAAAATGACATTATCTTGGCAATACAATGTGAAATTGCCGATGCTTTCAAATTTTTTATGTAGAAAAGGCTTGTGTTGCCAACAGAGTTACTAAATTTTTGACTTGGGGAATTATCTTTAAATAAAAAAACATAGTTTAGGGTTTTATATCTACCTATTATCTTTTGCGAATGTCAAAACAGGCAAATGACAAGTGCCAACTGTCACAATGACAAGCATTTGCATTTTTCAAATGGAACACCTTGTATATTTTTGTCTGGAATAATTGCTTTTTTTCTTCTGATTCCAAATATACCATATGTGTTAATATTTGGTTCAGTTGTTTTTGCGCTATTTAATTTTAAAATTGCATTGAGCAAGCCTCATCATTGACTAGGACAGATTAAATTAGGGGTAATGTAAATGCATTTTTAAACTTGAATAGCGTAAAAACAGCTGAACCAAATATCAACATATATGGTATACTTGGAATCAAAAGAAAAAAATTCTATCATTCTAGCTAAAAATATACAGGGTGTCCAATTTGAAAAATGAAAGTGTTTGGCATTGTGAGAGTTGGCACCTGTCATTTGCCCATTTTGACATTCGCAAAAGATAATAGACATAAAACCCTACAACTTTCATATTTAAAGTTTTTTTCCACCTTGTATAGCTAAAGCTGTAGGTAGAGGTCAAAATATAAGGAAACACCCTGTACCTACTGTAGGTAGGGGTCAAAATATAAGGAAACACCCTGTACCTACCAAGGTACTTACCTATAATTTCCTTTCCCATGTTTGTTATAATGGTCAAAATTGTTTCAAGTGAGAAACTATAAAGTACCTAATGTCTGATAAATGAATGATCTACACATTTCATTGGTTTTGAAATAACTCTGCATAAACAATTCTCATCCCCAACCAGTTATCACTAGTGAAAACCATTCAATATTTTGTCTATTTCTCTTCTTTATTTCCGATGTTTTATAAACAACAAATCATCCTCTCAAAATAATTAATGATTGTTTGTTACAAATGGGGCAACATCCTATCATCAGAAAATTACAAAACACATGCCCAGAATGTGACATTTAACCTTTGTCTGGATTATAAAAGCATACGCACTCGTGATTATAAAAAAAGCCATTCAATTTTAAATGTTTCCTTTAACCTCGACAGTAAAACGTTGAAGGAATACTAAAGTGCCACCCACCAGTGAAAATGCAAATTGCTTCTTTTCCTTATTTCAATAAACGAGTAGATTATTATAAGTAGGTATTTTTATTTCTGGTAATAAATTTGATAAAAACTTAGCAGCCAATTTGAGGCACTCCAAGGTATTACAACAAATTGGATCTGAAGCCAAACATTTCCATGTTACTCTTTTTAAAATCCACTCTAAAAAGGTCAAACGACCAGGCGGAGGCTCTATCTGTTAATACCGACCTTTCGAAGTCATTTTTAGACTTCCTATTAGGGCCGAGCGTCAATTATTGAGGCACCTTTAGAACGCTCTAAAAATAGCCGTTTTATTTTCGTTATCTATTCCGGATCAGGGTGGATTAGGAAATTAACGGAATGGCTGACTATTCTTTGCATTTTGTACTGGTGATTTAGCAAAAAAAAAAAATTAGTCATTGGAAAAAATGCAATAATTGTTTTGTTTTTTTAAATTAAAATTGTCCTTGTCTTACTTTGGATTATGTTCCTCAAGATACATATATTAAATTGTGAGGAATTCCAAATATAATTTTGTGAGAATATTTTGAACAAAGAAAATTACTCAATTGGAATACTTAAGTATAAAAAAAGCTTGCAATTCTAAACATATTTGAAATAAAGTTTCGTTTATATTACGATATTTATTTCCTACTTACTTACATTTTTTGTTTGACCATTTTATATAAAAATAATAATAATAATTCTCGTGAAAACCTCTCCTACCTAATTATG